CCACAGGGACTCCCTGACACCACTGTGAGTTTGAGACCCAACACTGCCTGGCAGCAGGGAGCTTGTGTGATCCCAAGCATGTGTGACTTTCCAGCACAACGCAGATAATTGAGTGGCCCTCGTGTATCACAAGTGCAACCCAAACATTGCAACAACCAATGCAACAAGAAGAAAATAGAATCTCAGATATATTTCATCCAAAGATAGTCCTAAATCCAGAACCTTAGCAAACTAAGCCTTCAAGCCACACATCGATTGGAATGAGGGGCTGCTTGCTGATAAGCCTGAGATGCAGAATATGTTGTATTGGATGAATATGATTCTCTTTCTGGGTGGAATAGTGAAAATTGTGTTATAAAAATATGTTAGAAAATTGAAATTGCCCCATTTCACTAATAGTCAATTTTCTTTAAGTATCATCTTCTGGGTAGGAGGGTAAAGTACTACTGTAAGCCGGAGTACTGGGGATTTTTAGGGTGATGAATCTCTTTTGTATACAATAATGGTGTATATATGATATACATTTGTCAAAAATCCATAAAATGGACAATTCAAAACAGGAACCTTAGTGTAAACTGTGGACTTTAGCTAATAATAATAATGTGTTGATATTGATCACTTGTAATGAATATGTTTCACTCATGCAAGGTCTTAATAATAAAGAGAGAGACATGGGAATTCCGTGTAGTTTTTTGATATTTCTGTACAACTAGATTTGTCTGGAAATAAAATCTATTGATTTGAAGAGAATTTGCCGGAAGTAAACAAGATCTTGGGGATTGTGGGAGTTAACTTTTTACTGGTAGGGATCCTTGGGGGCTGAGCAGTGACTGACTGGGGACCATAGCAGGAATATAACAGAGGAAATGGACACAGTCTTTAGAGTGATGGTTCCAAGATTATCAGGAACTGTTTACGAATTATGCTAAACAAACAAGGTTTTGCAAAATCTGAGGGGAAACTTGAAAAGCACAATTTTTCACTGGGTAAATTCTGGGGTACCATTATTTGTGTGTGCTCCTCAGAGAAATTGATACCTTTTCCTCACTATTAAAATATCGCCGATATAACCTTCACTCTACAAAATAACCATTCTTGGAGCTGGAGTGATAGTTTGTCTTGTATGTGGCTGACCTAGGATCTTTGTCACCCTGTATGTTTCTCTGATCCCACCGGGAATGATCCCTGAGCACAGAGTCAGGAGTAATCCCTGAGCACTGTCAGGTGAGATCCCTAAACAAGACAAAACAAAAATACCATTCCTTCATCTAACTTTGGAGATGCTGCAATTAATCACTCCCTCATGATCATGACTAAATCCTTTAACTAGTGACCAAGGAGATCTTGGAAACTACAGTTTATTTGCCAGTCATTTCCTTGTTGAAACCCAGTCCATCTTAAATGTGTTCTGATAAGAATACAGTAGGAATCAGAGACTACCCTGTGTCAAGGACAAACATGTCTTTCTTTCCTGTTTCACCCCTGACAGAGGGCATTGCTCGTCGACAAATTGATGTGTGAGGTGGTCTGTGAGCAATCTGATGTTGCAAACAAATGTGTGAGAACTCTTCTCATGTGACACTGCGAGCCTCCTATTGGTGATGAACCAGCTCATCCATGCATGAGAGTTTATTTCTCTACATAAGTGGTTGCAAATAAAATTGACAAGTCCTCAGAAGTCAGCCTGTTGATTTGGTTGCAAGGGAGTCTTTCTCATTATCACAGTGCTTCAGTCGCTGCCAAGAACTCTACAGAGAGAAAGAAAATCCAACTCAGGCTCTAGAAACCGCTTTCTCTTCCTTAAAGAGAATTGAGTGCAACACATGAATTCCAGGACTATCAGTAGCAAACAGTTTGCCATAGAGATTGTCATCTTCTGGGTGAGGACTTCCCAAACTAAAATTCTCCTTTCCCTTGGCTACTAGGTCTGCAAACCATGCAACACATAATGATGAGGATAGAAGTCAACAAAACTCCACATGCCACTGCTAGGTATTGATATGAAAGTTTCAAACCAGCAAAAAGGAAGCTTTTGCAAAAATATAGACTTCCTCAATCACCTTCTCCTGGCCCCTCCCAGGAATCCATAGACAAGCTTAGCAGCTATATTGTCAAGGAACAGAGGGTCACTTGCTTTCCCATTTAGCAGTGGATGTTGAGGAGTCAGAAGGGGCTGGAGTGGGCAGAGCATTTGGTGGGCAGCAGTACGATCTGGAGGACAAGAGGCTTCCTCTGAACTCTGAAGCCTGATAGGCAACACAAAAGGGTACATTGTGACAGTGCTGGTGAGGAAGACAACTGGAGCAGCAACCAGATGTTGGGATGAGAGCAAATACAAGGGAGAGATGTTACACTGTCAAGAAGGATGTGTTGTAGATCCCTGAAAATAAGAGAGCGGGAACTATTGATAGTACCATAGAAACAAACATGCAGAGATCTCTGCGACTGAGGAAAGACATTGGCCAAAAAAAAGAAAAGTTCTGTTGATTTCTAAGTTAGTGATAATGATAGTGTCAAGATTTACATGTCTACCATACCCTGGAGCTTTTCTGGATGCTGGGTGACTGTCACTGGGTCACTGTCCTCCCGTTGTTCATCGATTTGCTCAAGCTGATTGCATTTAAATAGCAGGAGCCATCCTGGCAGAGCTGTGTTCCAGTGTCTGGCATTATTGACAATGTGGTCCAAGAACGTCAAGACCCTCAGTGGAGATTTCTCTTGTGCCAGTTAAATTTTCAACAATGTCTTTGCTCAAGAATTTATCAAGCTGTTGTCCAAAACCCAGCAAGCATTTCCATTAACTTGACTTGGTTCGTGCCAATTTGTGGGTCTTGAGTAACCCCAGAGGTTATCAGTACTTTGCCATCCTTCACCACTTGTGCTCACTCTTAAACCCTGGCTACCCAGGTATTGCATTGCCAAGGTCCCCAGTTCAGTTCCCTTTTTCAGAAGGCATCTTGGAGCATTATGCAATATTTTTCACATATTTATTGAACGGAATTTTTTTCTATACAACTGAACAACCAACCAGGACCAGTTCACAGAGAAAGTATGCAGTGCAATGTTCTTTCCCTCCTTGAATGCTCTGTTCATTCATTCAACCTAAATTGGACGCCTGTGTGTGCTACTGGATGGCAAAGGTACAACTACACAACAGATCTGAATCCCTCCTACCTTCTGCCTCCTTCTTACCCAACTCTTTCCTCAACATTTCTTCCCACCCATCTCTTTGCCTTGTCCATCCACCTCCCTGAACAGACAGAGCACGTTTTTACCTGGACTCTGGCACAGGGGATTTGATCCTGCTGTTCCCTCAGTCAAGAAGGGTCTTTCCTCACATTTCTATGTGGTGTGCTATCCCCTTTCCTCAGATATTTACTTATGTTAAGTGTGGGAGTTTCTTTCCCCAACCAACCCAATCCTTGTCTGACATGTTTTCTCCTAAGCAGTTCCCACTCTCAACTACGTTGTGCTGATCATCGGAGTAGAAGCTCCATCTATGTGTGGCAGAAATGTTTGTCTTTTGGGTTCCTGCCATTAACCAAATACCCAGAAGGGTGATAGGTATAGAATTACTATTAGTGAATGAATAGTTTGAGCAAAAATTATATCATTAACTCTTGAAATTAGATCATATTCTGGTCAAGGGGCTAGGAGAAAGGAACTGACAGATGCTGCCTCCATGGTCTTTAATCTCATTGCCTCCTGCCCTCAGAATAAACTTTACATCTCAGAAAACAGAAAGGGCTCATCACAGATGGCACAATGCACATGTGCTATCCACCAACATTTACAACAGACCTATATCCATCCCAAGGAGAATAAAGTCCACATAGTTGATGTCAACCTGGAAATGATAAAATGATCATGAAAATATTTGTCCAAGAGTAGAAGTCACGATTTGGGGCCACAACCAAAGGGGAAGCCCAAGGTGTATAAATACCTGAGGAGAGGGGATAGCACACCACATAGAAATGTGAGGAAAGAACCAGGGAGAGGAAATGGGAGCATTTTAAAGGATCAAACTGCAGGGGCAGAATTAAGCTAAACTGACCATTTATTTGAAATTTAGGATTGGCTGTCAGGAGTCTTAAGACAGAAAACTATAATGTGGTATCTTTGTAGCTGTTAGAAGATGGACTTCCTGTTTCTCTCCTAATCATTGGTAAAGAGCAAAAAGCATGTTGTTCTTTCCAAGTCAATTAAGAGGAATCAAGATGTTTCTGTTTCACTTAGAAGCCTCAACATGGCAGTTTGGAGACAGGGAAGTCTATCTGACTTGAAATAGGTACACAGTCATGAGTCTTACTCCAAAGACATTAAGTGGCTCATTCCAATCAATGTTCTTCTTTGTTCTAAGACTGCATTAAACTTTTAGCATCATATGTAAATCAAGGGTGACCATATTAGTCTTCGTGTATGAAAACATTCATTCAAACAGTTTCCAGGGGAAAAGTAGAAAGCAAAGTAAACACCACATGACCTACTCTCCTCAACGAGATCAACGAGATTCAATTAAGCATCAGAGCAATCGTAAGAAGACCATGCTCAACACCGAGGTGGCCTGTTTTTCTGGTCATTATTAATCCAGAAACCTTAATGATGAACAGCATTTGTGTTACTGTCTACCCAAATTTAATTTGTTTATGCAGCAGTTCAGTTAATTCTGCAATCTGTTTTTCTCAAACGAGGGCAGATAAAGGAGACACGGTTCTTTATAAGTCTTCAGGCTTTTAAATTCTGATAAAATCAGGATTCTTCACTGGGTCTTGCCCCAGCTCTGAATTAAACCACTTTAAATGTAATTATGGAACCTGGCTTTACATCAGGAACATCCATTTAAAAAATTGATTGGTCAGGCTGTTCCATGAGGCATTTTCTGAGCAAACAATTGCAACAGGGCCAGAAGTATAATTTATAAAGGGGGAAAAGCAGGTAAATACTTTATTAGTGGTAATGAGAGGGTTTTCAGCTAACTGAATCTTTTTTATTCTCACTAGCTTCTTTGAGGAGTCGTGGTCCATGGCCATTTTTCATGATCGTTTTATTGATCTCAGGAAAAAGTTACGCCAAATCTTAATCGCCTCAGAGGTAAGAGTGATTAAAAGATTTGTGAGTTATTTCTGGCAAACTACAAGCAGTTTAGAGCTGTGGATCATTTAGACTTTTTCCTATGTTCTCACTTAATGGTTTTACTTTTAAAATCAACTGCATATTATAAAAGCAAATTATTGCATATGTAGCTATAGATGGTTGTAGTTCAGGATAATTGACTTATATAAATTCCTTAATAAAGTGAAAATTTGTTTTCCTTTTAAAAATAACAATTTTCATTATCAGCTAACAGTATTGGCTGAAAATTAGGTATGAATTGTACCCATTTGCTTTTAAGAATGAAGACTACATTCCTTTGGTTTTCTTTCTGTATTTGGCAGATTCCTCAAACAGTTGTATATGTACATGTCATTTATAAGTGGTAAAGCAAAGTCATCAGATGTCCAAACACACTCCCTTTATTACCCAAACATCTTTCTCATTCAATTTAGAATTAGCTGGAAGTTATACCATATATCCCAAAGGCTCCATGCCCAGCAAGAAAATTAGCTCTATGGGATTCAGAGAGATTGTACAGCAAATACAGTGCTTGCCTTGCATTCACTGGCAGCAGTAATCCCTAAACCCAGAGTCAGGAGTTAGCAATGAGCACAATTGAAAGAAAGAGAAATAGAAAGAAAGAGAGAAAGGAAGGAAGAGAGAAAGGGAGAAAGATGGAGGCTGGAGGGAGGAAAGAAAAAGAAAGAAAAGAGAGAAAAAGAGAGAGAAATTTAGCTATTTGGTGTAAATGGTGACTTCTTTGTGAAATTTATTTCCTTCTTACTGCCATTAGAATTTTAGAAAGCTAGTATCCATGCTCAAAGATTGGTCGGCTCCCCATCCTAGTCTTTCCTTGGTTCCATTCTGATGAGGACTGGACTACAATTGAGTTTCACATCCTTTTACTATCTAAAAAGACTAATATTGAATTTCTTTTGTCACTTCCACTTGGGAGATCCTGCATCTTCAAGGTTCCTGAGGTGCAAATTGCCATACTGAAAAGTTTACATACAAATAATGAAATAAGTGCCTATATTCCAGCACTAGTGTACCATCTTGCTTAATCCTGAAAAGAACTTTCAAACATGGGTGGGTATTGCTTAAATCATTTCAACTTCGTCCAAGAGGGGCCTGTATGTAAGACATTTTAAATCAAATCCCATCACCTACATGGTGATTCAGTGACGAGTAAGCTTCAAATTCCAGGGTCTCTATCTCTTGAGCTAGGATTGTAGCCATATAGGGTCAAACTGGAATCATCTCATAATTGTTCATCCCCTTTTCAGCTTCATTCCTGGAACCCAAAATGGGAAATTTAAATAATTTAGTAATCTGAAATAGGTTGAAGTTGGGGAAGATAGATTTTTTTTCATTTGTTTTTTTGGGCCACACTCAGCTATGCTTAGTACTCAAGGGTGCCAAGGATCAAATCCGGGTTTACTGCATGCTGTCTCTCTGGCTCATGGGGAAATAGATTTAAAATTAAAACTATCTCAGTCTTTAAGATACACATGGGTATAAATTAAGGTAAGTGGGCAGGCATATCTCATTTTGTTGTGCTTTTCTTTATTGCTCTTTGTAATTTTTTTTTAAACAAGATTATCTGACCTGCCAAGAATAACAAAAAAAGTATCAATAAGCAATGGCTCAGATGATAGCTAACATTTTTATGAATAAACTTAAAAAATGTTTTTAGGTTTTAGGAAATAGCAGCTGGGAGAGAAAGAGTAGGCAGGTCTGTGTGTGTATTAGTAGTTTTATTGTTACTCTGAGGTTCCATGGACTAAAAGGAAACATGCTCTCTGGCACTGAACTATATCCCCGGGCCCCAATAACACTTTTTTTTTTGTTAAAGACATGTTAATTTTTTAGACATAATGTTAGTTCATACTAACAATGTGTATTTACATGATGCACACTGTAGCAATATGTGAACTTAAGTTTTATATGCACTAGGAAGCAAAAAAGCTTCATGATTCACTTGAGTATTTTCTTATTGCAGTGATCCAGAACTGATCCTGCCTTATGTCTGGGTTGTGGTTTTACAGGAGAGAAGTGGAGGGGAGAAAGAGACTAAATGTAATGATTAACACTACTGTCATTCAAATGGGGAAAATCTATCTATCTATTACAGATCAAGTAGATCCCTGCAGCTATCACAAAGCTGTGAGTAAATCAACTGAGGTTGAAGTATAAGCCTGAGTTGTAGTTACTGAACTTGGTTACCCATAGTTACTAAACTAGCTTCCTCTCAAAATGTCATCTGCAGTCCAATATGTAATGATTCTCAGTAATGATGCTTCTAGTTATCCCATCAATTCTCCCTGCTTAATCCTTTGCAACTATAGGTTTGAACTTTTTGATTAATATTTCATACAGAAGTCAAGAGGTTTTAGGCACTGTACTTAAAATGGAAGCTTTGGGGCCACATGATATAGCTTTAGTGGTAGAGCGTGTGTTTAGCAGTTGTCAGGCCCTGAGTTAGATTCCAAGCTTTATATCCTGCCCATCTTGAAGCACTGGCAAACTATCAAACCCACAGTGCTAGGCTAAGCATGATTAAGTATTGATTTAGCCATGGTTCTTATTATTATTTGCTATTGTTTTTTAATCATACCTGGCAGTGTGCAGGACTTACTCCTGGTTCTGTACTCAGGAATCACTAGTGCTCAGAGGACCATATGCAGGGCCAGAAATTGAACCTGGGTCAGCAACAACCTAAGTCAGCTGCATATCAAGCAAACATCTCATCCCTGTACTATCTGTCTGGCCCCAGGGCCTCTATGGTTTTAAAATGCAAGCTTTAGGAACCAGAGAGTACCATGGGTTAAGCACTTAGCTTATAGGGACTGACCAGGTTCAGTTCCCCAACATTCCATATGGTCCCCCAAAGTCCACCTGGAGTCATCTCTGAGTGCAGAGCCAGGAGTAAGCCCTGAGGAAAGTCGGGTGAGGCCCCCAAACACACACACACACACACACACACACACACACACACACACACAGAGCTTTCTCTTTACCTTTCGAAGTAAACTGTCAAACAAAATTTGACAGTTGCTTTTTCTGGTACACACATTTACCAACACAATTCTCAGCCCCATCATTTCACCCTTTAATAGACATTTGCAAATTTCTGTGTGTGAACTTAGCATGAAAACCAGGCCCTGTTAGCACATTAGAGGTAGCCAAGGACATTTGTGTAAGATATATAAAGAGCAACCCACATCTCTCCAGCTATTTTTGATGTTTTTTTAAATTTCCAGAAAGGAAAACTTCTGCAAGAAAGCCTTCACTAAGGAATTGTTCTTTTTTCCACATTGTATTTATCAAGTGGGAAGTGCCAGAGAGTAGAGTGTGCTATGGGTCAGCCTCCAGTTTAGATTCCTGGAGATCAGGGACTCACTGTTCTATAACTCCAGGGGAGGACTTAAGGGGTATATGTGTGAAAGCAGCTTGAGCAGAAGAGTGGCTCCCAGTAAGTGCCACTACTGTTAGCAGTGATGGTGACAGTTATGGTCGAGACAAGCCGGTCATGGAAGTTGTAGTCATATAAACAGTCAGAAACTTTTATTTAAGAATCTACTAATATACCAGCCATAGGTGAGAATAAATACTTGCCTACCACTCATCTGATAAATGGTTAATATACAAGGTATATAAGTCACTGGTAGATTTTTACCAACCCCATTAAAGCAAAGAGGAAAGTGTTGAATAGAAATTTCCTCAAAGAAAACATACAGATAGCCAAAAAGTATATGAAAAAATCACTCATCAGGGAGCTGCAAATCAAAACTATAATGAAATGTCATCTCAGACCAGTGAGACTGTATACATCATAATAAAGAAAAACTAACTCATGTTGGTGTAGATGTGGGGGAATAGGTACGCTCATTCATTCATCCACTTCTCTAGCCCCTTTGGAAAACAATGTGGATATGTCTCAAAAAAAGTAGGAAATGACTTTCCATATCACAATGCAATTCCACTTCTTGCCATCTATTACAAGGGCCCAAAACCTCCATTCAGAAAAGACATTCTTATTCCCGTGTTCATGGGGCAGCATGAGTCATAACAGCCAAAATATGGGGCTTGGGTTTTAGTTTGTTTTTTATTTTAGAGCCATACCCAGAAATTGCCCTGGCTATGTGCTCAGAGTTCACTCCTATCAGATTTGGGAGGCCATAGGGGGTGCTGGGGATTGACCCAGGTCAACTGCATCCAAGGAAAGCACACTACCCACTGTACTATGTCTTCAGCCCCAACAATACCCAACCTCTGGAATAACCCAGGTGTTCAACAATAGATGTCTTAATCAAAGAAACTATGTCCCATAAGCACAATGGAATACTACTCAATATAAGAAAATACGGTCATGCACTTTGTTGCTGTGTGGACGGATCTGGAGAGTTTCGTGCTGAATGAAGTTAAGAGGACAAACACAGAATGATTTCCTCTCATATGTGGGATATAAAGAAACATAATAGGGAATAAAATTTCCAAAAGCAATAGAAGCTGAGAATTGTTCTTTCATAAGAAGTTTACCACAGAGCAGGGATTGGGGGTATTCCGATTGAGGGAGACCAAATAGTTTCTATGAGGCATATCACCTTAATACCAAAAGCAGACAGAGATACCACCAAAGAAAGAAAATTATAGGCCAGTACCCCTGATGAACATGGATGCAAAGAACCTCAACAAAATATTAGCAAATAGAATCCAACAACTCATCAAAAAGATCATACACCATGACCAAGTGGGTTTCATCCCAGAGATACAAGGATGGTTTAACATTCACAAGTCAGTTAACATAATCCATCATATCTGTAGCACTGTCCTTCCGTTGTTCATCAATTTGCTTGAGCGGGCCCAGTAACGTCTCCATTTTGAGACTTATTGTTACTGTATTTGGCATATTGAATATGTCACGGATAGCTTGCCAGGCTTTACCATGCAGGCGAGATACTCTCGGTAGCTTGCCGGGCTCTCTGAGAGAAGCG